TAAATTTGTTAAAATCCTTAACTTACCGCCAACGTTACCAAGGGCCGCCGGGGACCGCCTACGGTAGGAAAAAAAAAAAAGTGCGGGCCCACTATTTAAGGTACCCCAAAAAGGGACCCTAATTTTGACAACTACCCATATGCACACATGCTGCGGACTTTCAGAGTGCGCGCCTGAGGTGTAGAGTCCTCCTCCTCTTCTTCTTCCTCTTCCTAGCGATGGCGGCTTCTCCGGGGCTTAGGGTTTAGGGTTTAGGGTTTAGGGCTTAGGGTTTAGGGTTTAGGGTCTCCAAGCTACGCTATCAAATCGTCGAGTAGGTCCCTTCTTCACGGATCTTGGTAGTCAGGGTCGATCTATTCAGGTCCTTTGCTAGACGGTTGGTGGAGGTGTATAGAATTGGGGTTTCGGATTCAGAAGTTCAGGATATAATGTAGGGGCCCGAATAATTAGAATAGGGTTTTGGGGTATAGTATACTATAACTATGATAAGGAGCCCCCCCCAAAAAAAAAAACAAAAAATGTAATTTATTAAGGCCCCTACATTTTTGGGTTTAGGCCACGGGGTTGACATGTTTGGATTTCTGCGCATGGCAGATTGGCAGGAGTAATTTACGGTTTCGAGCGCAGAGTGTGCTGTCCGACTTCCGGTAATTAGCATTCCTGTGACAGTCGGAAGTGCAGGTGTTTCAATCGAAATCAAAAGGAAAACCAGGCCTGAACTTAGTTCATGCAGCTAAAGACGGCATATCTCGAAACCCTAAACCCTAAACCCTACAAATCGCAGACAGTCACTCAGCAACCGGGCTCCCTGAGTCCCCCGCCTAAGAACCCCCTGCAGTTCCTAAACCCTGAACCCTACTTATTAGGCCGTACTTAGACTTTCTCAACCCCAAACCCTCAACCCAAAACCCGAACCCCTGCACCCCGAACCCGACCCCGAAAGCCTGAACTAACAAAGAAAGCCGCCCAAAAATTGCTCCTGGGCAGGAATTGGAAGAGCATCCGCGGCGAAAGCCTAGCAGACAAGCAGTTCGGGCACTGGGAAGCACCGAAGACCTTCTAATCTATCAGAAAAACTAGGTTTGGGGACGTATTATCATATACTTATCCACATCGGAACGATAACGGGAGACTACTGCTAAGTATTCCTACCCCCTGTAGTAGCTGCTTTATGAGCTTCTTTACGGATTCGTCAGCAACCTCTATCCCCATCGTCCTAACCTAGCTTCTTACGCATACAGAAAAGCCGATACTAAACCTGGCCCGTATCATGCAACAGATCATCTACCGGAAGGAGCCGCATGCGAGAGTATAGGTCTGTCGGTATGCCGTCTTTTAGGGTTTAGGGTTTCGGGTAGGGTTTAGGGTTTAGGGCTCCGGGTTGATGACAGATGCCTACGAAGTGTCACGGTGCCGCAGCGCCTTCTAGCTATTGGTAACGTAGCAGACAGACCGATACGTCCCCTGATTCTATGTCAACTAACCTTGGGGAATAATTAGGAACAATGATCCCTTACGCGACCTATTTTTGCCATACCCGATCCCAAAACCTTATTCGAGTTGATTGCGGCCCCTGTACTATATGAGGAGCTCTCTCGTGACAGCAACTGCCTCTACACGACAACCGTGAACCAACATGGGGGCATCAACAATTAGACTAGGATTTGGCATGTATATGTTCCTGTGAAGATCGGAAATTATGCGGAAATGAGGGATTTGCTGAAGATCATGCTACATAGATGCCTCAGTAATTCGAAGAAAGGTCTTGTGGAATATACATATTTTCAAGAACTTTATAGACCTCTACGTTACTTTTTTTGGACAGGGTTGTTGCATTTAGAACCGTAGTACCCTGGGCCTCCGACCCTAAGACCTAAACCCCTAGACCCTAAACCCTGAACCTCAAGCTTTTGAAGAATCCATGACTCGTGGAACACCCCATTCATCGATGGATTACCCATAAGAAGGAATATACCACAACTCCCGTAGTTTAGGGTCCTTGGTAATGCCGGATCTATACCATCAACGGTAGCCTCGCCCAAAACCAGGGTCTAGGGTTTAGTGTTTAGGGTACAAAACATCAGGATTGCAGAATTCAGTTGTTCGTTCTGGAACCCCTCTCTTGGGTGTTGTGTCTTTCAACATGCCGTAACATCCGTTTCTATGTGGTGTTGTGGGGGCCTTTGGCCTCAGTGACAAAGAGCGGACCTCGTCTAATTTTCGGATCTACCTGAACCTTAATCAACCTTTGGGCGTTCAGGGGTTTAGGGCTTAGGGAACACCAAACCCTAACTCGTTACAAGAAAGGCCTCATCCGCAATGGCCACTTGCTCGGGCAACTTCGAGCGCAGAGCCTAGCGGTCCCGAACTTCTACAGCTTGAGGGTTCGTGGGCTTAGAGTTGATTGGGCTTAGGTTTCCTAAACCCTAAACCCTAAACCCTTATGAGGCTTAGAGGTTTAAGGTTTTGGGCTGTTCAGGGTTGAGGGTTCTCAGGGGTTTAGGATTGATAGGGCTTAGGTTCAGGGTTTAGTGTTTGGGGTTTAGGCTTAATCAATACTGCTGATGATATAAATCCTGCATAATATTGGGTAATGCAGGAGTTATACTATCAGCCGTAGGGCTTTAGGTTTAGAGTTTAGCGTAAACCCCAAAAGTCGGATTAAGGAGAATTAGTGCTGGGAATCCTTATACATTGCTCTTAAGGATTGAGGCTATTGGGCTTCCAACTTTTGGGCTTCTACTGTAGGGCCCCTAAACCACCCTAAACCCTAAACCCCTAAACCCTAAACCCTAAACCCCTAAACCCCGAAACCCCGAAACCCCGAAACCCAAACCCCTAAACCCCTAAACCCCTAAACCCTAAACCCTAAACCCCTAAACCCTAAAACCCTAAACGTAGATGGCCCAAGTCCTGCACAAGGATTTCGACTCCTAGCTTTCAGGTCTCGGACTCTTTGGCTTTCTGCTTCAGTGGTTTAAGGGTTTGGGTTTAGGGGTTAAGAGTTCAGAGTTTAGGATTTAGGGGTTTAGGGGTTTAGGGGTTTAGGGGTTTAGGGGTTTAGGGGTTGGTTTAGGGTTTAGGGTTTAGGGGTTTAGCGGTTGAGGGGTTTAGGGTTTAGGGTGATGCAGGTTTTGCTGGACGCCGCTTTGGGGTTGTCACCATGGCACCATGGTCTGGCAGGTCTACGACACACGTAGCCTGCAGCGAATCTAGGCTGTCTATCTCTGTCAATGCTGGGGACCAGAACGGCTTAAAAGGGTACTTGGGGGGAGGGGGGGGGGGGGGGTGCTTGGTAAGCCCTCATGGCACCCGGAGTGTCCATGGCATGGAAATTCGGGCACGGAAGCCGTTTGAGGTACCCAGAGAAAGGCATCTAGCAAATGCTGGAAACCCCAACCAGCAGCACCGGTACAAAGGCCTTAATTAAGGCGATAATGATATAATGAGGGACGGTAAGGTAATACAGAAACAAATTATTGAGACCCCGCCGTTTCCCTCCACTCAAACCCTGCGTTCTGCCTGTAGGCCGGTGGAAAGATTCGGATCCCTAGGCGAGAAAGGCGCCTCAGGTTCTTGGATCGGAGTTGGGGGGGTAAAGGCTGTAGGCTGTGGGGGCTTTGTTTAAGGAAGTCTGCGAGGGGGCGCTGAGAAATCAGATTAGCTGGCGATTAGCATGATCCAGAATGATCGCCATGATGGTGGTGGTGGGGGGGATGACTATGATACTGTTGGTGCGGAAGATTGTGGTGGTGATGATGATGATGACGGTGATGACCATGTTGATGATAATGAGGACAATGGCGATGGTGATGGTGATGATGGAGAAGAAAATGATGATAATAATGATGGTGGTGATGATGACGATGATGATGGTGGTGATGATGGTGATGGTGATGATGGTGGCGATGAAGAAGAAGACGATGACCATGGCCAGGAAGGAAAATGTGCAGATGATGAAGACAATGCTAATTATGGTCATGACGTGGTAGTAATGCAGAGCACGGGCAGGTGGCGATGGAGAGAACTGGGAGGATGACGATGATGCTGCGGTGCTGCTGCTGGTGATGATAGAGCCCGAAGTACTGCTATTGGCATGAATACAAAACTTAGCCTTCGCCCAACGACAAGAGTATCTGATCATGAGGTGACTACCAGAATGCATACACTGCTGATTCGTAGTCTTGATCGCCATCGTCTCCTCGTCGTTCTGGTGTCCCCTTGCTTAGGGATGCGGGTTTAGGTGTCTAGGGCTTAGGATTGAAATTTCGGCACTAAGCTCGCAGCAATGAGGCACTTCAGCAGTGGCTCACCCTCGCATAACCTGAGCGCACCCGGAGCATCGGAAGCACTTCGAAGGAATTCTGAGTCCGAGGGTTTAGAACTTCGCCTTAGGATCTAGATTTGAGAAGGGGCGTCCCGAGATCACTGGCCCAGAACCTTGAACCCTCAGTTCCGTAACCAAAGGCCGCTATACACGCTAAACCTCAAGAGCCCTAAGCCCTAAACCCTAAACCTCATTGACCCGACAAGTTGCACCCTAAACCGGAAGCCCTATGTACACCGTACACCCAACAGTCCTAAACCCTGAAAGATTAGACCCTGAATCCCACAAAAGCTGAAGCATGGTTCCACCAAACCCCAAACCCTAAACCCTAAACCCTAAACCCTGGTTTAGGGTAAAAACCTGCGCCGCCAAGGCCTGCACCCAACTATCGGAGGGCCAGTGCTTTGTCGTGGGAGCTCCAGTTTTCAGTGTGAAAAGGGTTTCGGGCTTCGGGTTTAGGTCGTAGGGTCCAGGGTTTAAGGTTTAGGGTTTAGGGTTTAGGGTTTAGGGTTTAGGGTTTAGGGTTGAAAAGGGTTTCGGGCTTCGGGTTTAGGTCGTAGGGTCCAGGGTTAGGGGCTTTGGGTGTAAGGATTCCGGTCAGCAAACACCCCGCCCCTGAACCTGAGCCGTCTGGGACGAGTGCGTTGCGTAGTAGTCGATGAGCTGGCCCTGTCATGCACATGATCCGATCTAAACCCTAAACCCTAAACCCTAAACCCTAAACCAAAACCCTAAACCCTAAACCCTAAACCCTAAACCCATCCGGGATTTCGGGCTCGGGGTGCTGTCTGAAAGCCCTCAACCCCCAAAAGTTAGCAACTACTATTTCCATTTTCTATCCATGCACACCCCCCCTATAGGCCACCCACAAACCCGAACCATAACAACCTATGCCTCAACCCTCAACTCACCAAAAGACCCCATAGCAAGACCCACCTGAAGAACCCATACTATGGAACCATGCCTAAACCCCCTGAGCCATCCAAAGACCCAAAACCATAACAACCTATGCCTCAACCCCCAACTCACCAAAATACCCATAGTAAGACCCACATGATGAGAAAACCTTACTGTGGAACCACGCATAAGCCCTTAGGCCATATCATAGATCCAAACCCAGGCCCTGCAACAAGAAACACAATAGGACCAGAAACCCAACCACGTATACATTCCAAGACCCCTCAGAACTAGTGAACCCGAAGCCCTAAACCCTGAATCTTAAACCCGTGTGAAGCACCTGGTCCATCTTCGTCCCTTCCGCGAAGCTGTAAACGTCGCCTTCTGCGTCGTACGCAGCATCTGCGTCGAGATGCCTTGCAGACAATAGAGGCTCAGTGGAAGGTTATTAGGTGTCAGTCGGCGGATTTAAGGCGTCGTTTAGAGTTTGTACTTTCGGTGCCCTTCGAAACATGGCACAAGCCTGACAGCGACAGTCTGAATTTGGGTACCCCGGCTATGGCTCCCCCGGTCGCGCCAAATTAAGGAAAAAGTGGGCGTTTGTCATTTTCGGCTGCGCCATCTTAGTTCTCATCTGTGCGCGACTTCATACATTACAAAGGAACCGGGTGCTGGAAGCGAACCCAATGTTCATTGACAGGTTTGCAGGGCCAAGTCGCACGGAGAAGTAGACCGAGGACTGCTGTTGCTCCTGCACGTCCGGATCCCAAGCTGCGAATCTACACCCTGGACGCACTACACAAGCCTCGGGCTTTGAAGTAACCAGGGAGAAAAAAGTATAGACTTTAATTTCATAATGCTGTATTAAAGTATGGTACTCCAAAGCCCAGAGCCTGAATAGTCAAGCAAAGTCTCTGAACCTGGCCAGAATGAAAACATAACATTACATGCGCTGGAACATGGAACAGGGAAAGCACACTTGCAGCACCAATCGCCCAGCTCGACATAGAAATGCCTGCCCCAAACCTCGGTGATCAGCATCAGTATCGTGATGCGCTGTGATTGTGAAGCACGCTACAGATGGTCCACAAAGCAGGCGCACTACGGGTCCGTCCAGTAAATCAGATGGACAGACTTAACTGCGATCCGAGGGAAGGCTATCACTGAATACGAGTACGTAGTTCAGATGCAGCATTACAACCCCCCCCAAAAAAAAAAAA